ATATATATATATATATATATATATATATATATATATATATATATATATATATATATATATATATATATATCTGTTACATAAAAAAATGGAAACACCTTCTACTCCCATGGTGGTAAATTTGTTCTATTCAAGAGACAGGACATACATGGAAAATCCATATTGCTTATTCTTCAAAATAAAACAAGTCAACAAATATCAATATTGATGATTCGATACTTGCTTACTCTATGTGCTCTAGACATTTGAGTACAGAACTTTAACCTAGCTGGAGTTTATAACATCCTTGGAAGAAAAAAAAAACAGGGAAGCTGGTTCTAGCAGTGTGGTTAAGAACCACAGAGGTTTGTTTTTTCATCTGAGCAAACTTAAAACTGCTCCTTTATAAAACCTTTGATGCTCTAATCTATAAAATCTAAATGGGGTCTCTTACACCGAATGGAAATTCCTTTAAAAATTACAACTTGGGATTCATTAACTTTTTATTTCAATCTATTGTCTGGTATTTGTGGTCTATGTGCTATAATATTTCTGAAATTATCCTTTTTGAACAAGTGTCCTTTCATTTAGGGTCAAGAGATGAGGCACATTAAATATAAAAAACAGAGCGATCTAAATATAAATCTATAATAGATTCTTTCATTTCCATTGGCTGTGAGAAAAAAACTAAACTGACCTAGTTTTCCATGCTGGTTGAAGCTTAATATTTCAAGCAGCAATGCTATTTTACTACAATGATAAGCAGAAACAAACTCAAGCAACTCTGGGAGGTGAGCTCACCAGCCTCCCTCTGCAATCAACATAACCGGAAATCTTTCATTTGTACAAATGTGTACTGTAAAAATAGGCACGCACATCCACACACACACAAACACTGACACACCCAGGAAACTATTCTTGGAAAGGTGACATTAGGATTTGCTTTCAATTGCTAAACCAACAAGACTATTAATTTACTCCTTACACAACTTTCACGTGATTCAGAACCATAACACATTAACAGAGACAGCAAAAGGAAACATGCAGGGCAACAGCAACTTCTAACACTGATAAAACTTTCGGAAATAAAATATTAACTTTTCTTTGCACCTCTTATGATGCAGACTGCTTCATGTCTGGGCCATGCTTGTTTGTTCAGAGAAGTTGCTTAAAGGAATATTCAGGGAGACCACTCTGAGTGACCAGCAGGTTTAAAACTTTTTTTCATCCAGCTGGTGAAGTTAATATAGCAGAGCATTATTTGGAGATAATAACAACAACACTCTTCAGTGTGGAATGCGTTACTGAAGGCAAGGATTCTCATTTCCAATGGGAGTGAGCTATTAAAATATTTAACCAGAAAACAACACAAAAGGAAACTAAGCAATCTATTAAAATAGCTGGGGGGGGGTATTTTGTAGGCTAGAACTGGAAAATGAATGCACTTTATAGAGACTCAATTGCCTCACATTTAAACATCTGAGATGAATAGGAATTTAGGACTGGGTTATTTTTGTATTATTGGTTTTTTTTTACTTTAACCATACTTGTCCAGACATGTTTTTTTTTTTTTTTTCCTAGAATGGAGGTTTGCTATCAGAGATCAAGAGATGTAAAAAGGATTTCTGAAAGCGGTGAACACCTACTTTGGCCATCTCCAAAATTTTAGACAGCAAAACAAACAGATTATTTCATCAAAGAACTAACTTTAAACTACTCACCCAGTCTTCTGTAGGGAACATTTGCATGCTGGCATTCACATGGATATTAATTTGACACTTGCCACCCACTCAAGCCTTTTTACAGACTAGTTGCATCACTGCACTGGGAAACAGGATCCCTCGTAAAAGAGATTGTCTGAGGTGTTGACCTAGCCTACAGACTCCCAACATACCCACATAATATCGCTTTTTCTTATAAGAGAAAAAAAAAATCTACACTGGGAATAATGTTACTTTACCAGTAGATTAAACCTTTTCCTACCTAAAATTAAGCCATATTAGTGCCCCGAAGATTTAAAAAAAATCTTCATTCCAAGTTCATGTTTGATATAAAAGAAGACAAACATTAGTCAAAATATAAGTACTAAATTAATTATTAAAAGTGCTACTTTGAAGAATAATTTGTTTTCCATTAAGAAAAATCGCCTTTTTGAATTTTTCAACTGGCATTAAGATTCATCTTTGGTGATAACCTCCAACAGTGGCGTCGGATGCAGGAGTTTGCCCTGAAATCGAAGGATTGACGGTTCAAGCCCCGGCTCCGACTTTCAGTGTTGTTGTGTCCTTGGGCAAGGCACTTCACCTGCATTGTCTACTGATGGTGGCGCCAGTGTACGGCAGCCCTGCTTCTGTCAGTGAACCCCAGGGCAGCTGTGGCTACAATGTAGTTTGCCACCATCGATGTGTGCGTGAATGGGTGAATGACTGTATGTAGGGTAAAGCGCTTTGGTCAAGTGAAAGTACAGGCCATTTACCATTTACCAAATACTTGGGGTTGAACAGCCTTCTTGCCATTACCCTCGTCCTAAAAAAGCATTGACAAATTAATAGATTAGCCTGGTACACTCAGAAACCTTAAAAGTAGCCTTACACCTATCACATTAAACACACTAGTCAATTTTAAAGATGACCATGTACCTAAATATGCTAGCGGTATGAATAACTTAGGGCTAACCTATGCACATTGTCCTTCAAGCCTATTTATAATTTGGAAACATTACGTCAAGTATTAAAATAAAAAAAAAAAAAAAAAACCAGAGAAACCTAAATTCTCTAAGTATTTTCAAAAATAAAATGTACAAGGGACAAAAAACCTTTAACCCTAATCTAATTACATATAGTTTTTCTTTTATTTATTCCACTTCTTGTCATAAAATAGAGCAAAATCAGAGGTACATCTAAAAAGAATTAAAACATTGAAAGATCAGTATTTTTGTCATTTCCTTTACAAAGTAAAACTCATATTGTATTCATAAAAACTAAAGTGAAACATTTCAAGTCTTTTTTTCTTGTAAATTTGACGATTTTTTCCTACAGATAATAATCTTAAACTAGCTTTATTTAAGTCATTGATATTAGTATTTTTCCTAAATGACTGTACATAATGACCCATTAAAACCATAATTAATTAGGTGACTTTCAAACAGTCAAACACCAAACTTAAGGATTAAATTTTTTTTTTTCCAAAAGGACCTGATGGCATAAAAGAAGAGGTGGCAACAGACGTTACGATTTAGGGCAAACTGGAATGAGACCAAGCTGCCTCTGAGGTGTCAAAAGTCTCTCTCACACACTTAACAGTCTCAGTGCTGACACAACTGAATTATCCAGCTATGCTCATATGAGAGATCAGAGCTGACGGAGAAAAGCCCCTCACAACAACAGAGATTCAAATCTCTTTGACTGTCCAAAGGCCAAAAATAAAAAGAGAACCCCCATCTAACAAAAACATTCCCCCATCCGTTCAGCCTCAGGTAAATATAGCCTTTGCAGTTGGTCATAAGGAGATCTTTGTCACTGCTAACCTGTAATAATGGAAGGCCTCTCTGGCACAGCCCTCTGCAGCTAGTTTATCAGACAAACAGGTACAGACAAATCTGTATGTGTTCATAGCTCAGCATAATCAACAATAATTTGGTAGATAAAAGGCAAAATCTACCAGCTATATTGTGACTAATTTCTAACTCCTATGGTGTATAAAGGTTTAGGACCCAATCGAAACAATAATAAAAAAATCCCCACTTTATCAAAAGGAAAAAACATCGAAAAATTATTTTTCAAACCCTTGACTGTCTAGTGGGTAAGAACTGGCACAGCATCGGTACAAACATGCCCGTCCCGCCTTAAGGCTGATTTATACTTTGAAACAAGGTCGTCTGCGTAGGTGTCGCGGTGAATGCAGACGTCCCCCGCCCCCTGTGCAGACACTCTGCTGTACCTCTCCCAAATTGTAGGTGACTGGAGACAGGAGGCCTCTGATTGGTCAAATCTACATCCGCTCTACACTATTCGTCTCCTGTTTGGTGCCTTACCGGCTTGTTTTGTTTTTATGACCGTGATTGCGGAAAACGTCTCGTGAGAATGGACCAGCTAGAAGAGCGAGGAGCACGAGAACACTGGAACCCATTTTCCACCTGGATCCCCGCTCTTTTTCACCCTCATGCCCTCAATTGTCGGACAAACTTGCCCCCATTTTCTCGCCGCCTCGGCCATATTTAGACCCACAGCTAGTTCTTGCATTGTGGCGTGGAATAAACATAGTGCAGACCACGCTTCAGTATTGAGCATAAATCAAAAATGTCTGCATCATACCTGCGACAAGCTCACTGCGACACACTGCTGCGGGAGTATAACCAGCCCCTTAGTGTTACCTGCGTTGTTTTATTCCATGGATTTTTCTAGCCTTTATTTTCTGAAAACAAAAGTACTTTCAAAATATATAACAGGCAATATAACCAGTATAAAAAGTTTTCCTAAAAACATAACATCTAAAAGCAAAACCTTTGAGAAAGGAAGCTAAATAGACATCTGGGTCCACTTCAACAAGATGGCTTCTGGCTTCTAGTAAACACTGATTGCTCCTGTGAGACTTCCCAGTCATTGAACTGGCCATAAGAAATCCTCCAATCACTTGCAAAGCAGTTGAATCATACAGATTCACACTACCTTGGTGCCAGAGATGTAAAACCATCTGCCTGCTCTTAAACTCAACACCAGCGCTTAAAGAAGTCTAAAGATAGAAACAGACTTAAAGAGCTCTGATTGCTATTGGGAGTTTTATCAAAACTTGAGGTGTTAGATTTCTGAGACACTGGAGGACACAAGTGAACAGTGGGGATAGAAATCCCTGCTATCAACAAGCCTGTTCCTGCTTCTTTCAGAGCTGAATTGGCTGAAGTGTGGAAAATTTAAAATGCCTGTGGTTGAGAGGAGAGAGAAAGAGAGAAACTGTTTTTCTTTTATGCAGTTCCCAGAATGTTATAGCATCCTAAAATCTGAGACAATCCTACGAAAAATAATAAACGCAGTATCTGCAAAATTTTAAAAGGCAGCCTAGAGTATCACTAAACACTATTAAGCTTTACCTTGGGTTCATTTGTTGTCAGCTGCTTGCTAAGTGTTACATCCTGATCTCCACTTCCACTTTGGGTGAAGAATATCTTGAAATGCGGCTGTCTCCTCGGATTTTCCCCACTGATTTTAAAAGTACAACATTTTGATCTATCCTTTGTTTCCAGTTCCACATCAGTCTGATTCTCCTCTATGGTTTGGAAGTCTGCCACATTCTTCTGATGTTTATTTTCCAGCAGCAGCCTGGGATGAGAGGAGCTCCTCTGTAGTCGAATTCTTGGGTAACGGACCGTGCGGATGCCTCTTGGGCTTTCTCTACCAAAGTCCTCCTGGGATCCAGCAGTCTGCTGACTATCCTGGGTCTGATCCTGGTTTTGCTGCAGCTGGAAAACCAGCCTCTGTGTCGCACCATTAACACCAGAACATGGCTCTTGACTCTGCTGCCGACCATCTCCACAGTAAGGATGGATCCTGAAATGTTGGACATCAAAATTCTCCGGAGAATTTCTCTGGATACAAATGGTACCAACACTAAAACCAGGGGCGCCTCCATTAACTGTAGGATATCCACTCGACCCAATGCTAAAAACTCTGCGTTTGGGAAGGTTTGGTTCATTCAGCAATGATTGAGAGTTTAAAGAATCTGGGTTGTAGTATGGAGGAGGTGGCTGGTGAGGAAAGTCTTCCTGAATCCGGGGTTCAGGATACGCAGGCGCAGGTCCAGGTGGAGTATAACAAGGTGGTGGGACATCATCAACAAGGCTATCAGAATTTCTTCTAATTGATCCATTAGACGGCTGGAGAGAGATCTGCACCGACGAGCTCTTGGTGGTTCGTTGTTCGGGGTAGTAAGTGAGCTGTGGTATGAACATGGAAGAGCTCCTTTTGAGTGAAGGCTCCGAACGTAAACCATAACTTCCAGAAGGGATATGTTGCGCTGCAGACTCCCGAGGAGGCCTAGGTAATGGAGGAGGCCGCGCATAGTGTGCTCTACCCGCTTCCCTCTCTCCTTCATGCTCCTCTGGGTCCGTTTCCAGCATCTCCGGAGCAGTGTTGCTACGGCCAGATCCAAAGTACAAACGCAGACGCTGAGCCATTTTCAGTTCATGTCCTACAGCTTCTATTCACTCTCACTTACTGTAAAATCTCTGACTTACTGTTGGTTCCCTCCTCTCCTTGTGTCGCCCACCTCTCCTTTGGCTGGCTGGTTAGATGACTTATCCCCTTTTTTCTTCCCCCTCCCTTCCTTTCCACTCTCTCCCAGTCTCTTCCACAACTTTCCAATCCCACAATGAAATACACACAGACCAGAGCTGTCTCACCGCAAAAACACAACAGCAGCAGCAAAATACTCCAATATAAGGTGGAAAATAAGAGTTCACAGAGGAAGGGCAACTAAAATTAAAACAAATTAAGAATGGAGGATCCCTGTAGAGCAAACTATTAGGAACACCAAGCACCAGCGACAGGCAGCAGAAATAGCCTTGGTCGAGTGACAGCCAGCATTCCTGCCATGATAGGGTGACAGCGTGAGGAGTTCCTGGTTGCTGAGGTGACAGAAGGTTGCCTGTCAGTCACATGACTCCAAACAGGCCCACCACCTCAAGTTACAACAACTCCCACCCCCACCAGGACACAAAATACCAACCACTGTCCAAAACACCATCTAGCCTTTCGCATCCATATCTTGGTAATATAAGAGATCAAACAACGGCTATATATATATATATATATATATATATATATATATATATATATATATATATATATATATATATATATATATACCAGAGGGGGAAAACAAAACAGAAATCTATATCTACTTTCCTACAAAGGACAAATGGGAGACAATTTTCCCACCAAGTCACTCAATAAATGACAATTACAAGAAAATAAGAAAAATGCAACATTAAACATAAACCATTTTTCTATACTCTCTTAGGATAAGATAAGGATTTGGAAGGAAACTCAAACCAGATAAAAAGGCACCAGGAAAGCAAAGAGACCCTTTGACAGATTGCAGCTTTGATAAGACAAACAAAGCGGCCATCCCAGGAGATCAAACTACACAACGCAGAATAGACACACTATCTCCCCTGTACAGAGCCAAACATTTAACTGCCTGCTTGTTTTATAGACCGTTCTGTTTGCATCTAAATATCACCTGGGATACAAATCAGCTGAGATCCTGAATGACAAAACCCTCAAATAATGCTAAAGCACCTCTCACAGCAAGCCGTAAATTCATAAGGAGGGCTTTGGTGAATCACATCGCTACTGAGCAAAACAATCTAGCAGCATGTTGAAAGGAAAGGACTGCATTAGTGCAAGAGAAAGAACAGAACCGACAAAACCTCTGTCATCATTTGACCTTTTATGCCTGGAAAGCAGTTGCCTTGCGTTTACCTTCTGTGACTGTTCAATCTGTGTTCTGATCTACTCTGGAACAAGCTGCTGATACTCTATTATAACAAAACGCACAGAAAAAAAAGACAAAAAGGAAGGAAAAGAGCTCAGAGCAAGAAAAAAAGGAAGAGTTAAGCACGGGAAGAAATCGTGTCTTGGCAAGCTGTTGGGCTTGGAGATGACACACCGCCTGCAGTGTTAGGCACAGTCAATACATGAGTGTGTGAAATGTTACAGCAAATATTCGGTATAAAGAAAGGAGAATGTAAATGTGCAGTCAAATGGCAGATAGCCCAGCTCGCAGAAATGATATAACATGCCTTCCTCGATTTAGATATCATGCTGTACTGCAGATGGGTTGGGTTGAAAGTTATACATGGGCTGTACTGTGGGCACCAACAATAGATGGGAGTAAGTGTACCAAGAGCATTTATTTCTGTGTTAAAGCAGCAGAAAACCAAATCCATCTGATAACAGAAGCATAAATCAATGGATATAAAACAGCAAGCAGCCCTGTTAAAAAAAAAGCACAGGCCAGAGGTGGAGGAGCTGCCTTGGCAAGCACCTCAGGATGGACTGAGAGCACCTCCTACGACTTATAAGGAGTGAACTGCGCCTGAGGCCGTCTGTGCTGTGCTTTCTTGACTTCCTTCACCTTATAGAAACATTGAGCTCTTACTGCACTCAGGGATAAATAAAAGCTGCTCTATTTTTAACAGGGGTTGCTAACAGGTTTTCTCAGCACACAGCAGTGTATTCACGCCTGTCACCTGACTAAATCCGTGAATGAATTTCAGGCATAAAGTCGGCTGATTTGGTCAATTTATACAGTAATCTACAGCCTTATATCTGTGTTTTAAAAAAGCCCCAAATTTTCACAAACCTGAAGTTCAAGGTAAGACTCGGACGGAGCATCACCATCAAAACAGACATGGAACTAAATCTTGGGAGTTATTTATGAACAGAAACATTGAGGAACCCTGGGATTAGTCTGTCTCTTATTCCTGCCAATGTCAGAGACTACTGCACTAATCCATCAGCTCTGCACACATTTCATTCACACAGTAGAGTAAATTACCAAATTTATCATCAAAACTTTCCTGCCATTCTGATTGCTGCAAAACTTGAAATGTATTCGGTTGTTATGGCAACTGAGGGCTCTCCACTGATATATTTTTACAAGTGTAGAAAACCAGCGACTTTGGAAGGAAGGAAATACTTGGATAAAAGCACAAGCACGTTAAAAGCCAGACGATGTTGTAGCTGAGCAAAAAAAAACAAGCCGTTAGTCATTTATTGCATAAATCTGTCTCCACAACCTGCTTAAAAGGGATTAGGTAGACACAATGTATTAGAGACGGGAGGTTTTTAATTGCTAATAAATAAAAGGAAGCAGGAAAAGATCAAGCTAAATGAGTCCTATAGTCGTTCCATTTTGGTGTTAAGATATCAGAATAATGGGAACAAAAAGCATAAAAGACAGTATTATCAAAAATCCTATTATTACTGAAACTATGGCATCAAAACCACATTCAAGCTCTGGCAAACTGTAAAGCAGCATAAATCAGAGGGATGGATCAGGAGTGTGAATCTTACCAATCTGTTTTCATCAAACACCTCAAAGAGTAGCCTGTGGTTCTGTGGGCACACCTGTTGGGAAACAAATAACAGGGGTGAGGCATAGCATTGGTTCTGTTCAGTCCTGTCAAATACAAATTGTGTTTTCATGGAAGACAAACTATAAAAAGTTATCTGCCTTTATCTCCATGTAAAGGAGTTAACATTTGTTACCAGAAACTTTAAAATCATTTGTCAGGTTTTCGTTGATACACTAATGCAAAGCAGCCCATAAATGTGATGTGGAAACAGAACAAAACGTGTTTTTTTATGTTTATTTGCATTGACATTTAACAATATCATTTTGGGATAAATCCATCTTTATTCTGGTAGCCCTAAATAAAATAATTGTTTTGGTTTTATAAAGACTAATGAACACATCAGACGGTTCATGAATAAAATCATGTATAACTGAGAGCGAGAGCTGGTTTATAAAACAATATCCTTTGACATGAAATCTGCCTCAGAGCTCATCTACTGTTTCTCTCGCAGATTGAGCCACCTATGCTGCTAGTTTACCGTTACCTTTTATTAATATAGAAAGAGTTTATAGATCAGTGCTTTTATGTTTATATATCTCTCTCCTTGAATCACAGTCGGCCTCAGCTGAAGGCCACTCACACCAAGCCTGGTTGTGCTGGAGGATTCTTCCTTATAAAAGGGAGTTTTTCCTCTCCACTAGCGCTGCATGCATGCTCAGACTGAAATATTACTATATAAATAACCTGAAATTAATACATGAGACCTGCAACATTTTGACATGCATGCAAAGAAGGTAATAATATGCATTATCCTGCACACTATTTTGACAGTGAAACAAGGGAGTGAAAGTACGATGGAATGGTTCAGATCAAAGTGTACTCATGTGTTAGAAGAGCACAGGACTAAATTCAATCAAGAATCTGTGGTGAAACTTGAAAACTGATATTCCCAAACTCTTCCCAGCCATTGTGACTGAGCTTCAGCAATTTCGCAAAAATGAAAGAGCCAAAATGTTGTATACATGCAAAAATGAAAGAAACGTTAGTTGCAGAAAATTTCTATTCAGTTTGATGTGCCAGGAAAACTCCCCTTCATTACTCTCATTAAGTCACACAAAAAAACATTTCTCTATTTGTTAGCATATATGTCAAGTTGGAGGCTGATGTAGTAAAAAAAAAAAAAAAAGAAGGACATTTATTATCACACATGAGATTTCGGAGCTAAGCTTACCCGGAAGTAGAATTCTTCGTTCCATTTAGGATTTAATGTCTGAAATGCAAAGTTTAAATCTGATTAGAGCACTTTGTAGCTTTAAAAGGAAAAGACACACAAAAAAAACTTAGATCAAATGTAAACAGTGTGGGAGAAAAAAAAGGTGCCAAAACGCATTGATATGGAAGTTCAGAGGATTGAATATAAGTGGTGCAAATACGTAGCATTTTTGGTTTAGTGTTATCAGTGTGATGCAAAACACTGTATTCTGTAAGTAATTAAGCGATAAACCTCAAAAGGAGGCATCAAGGTTCAATCATATTCAGTTAGTAGACATTTAAACTCGAAATTAGAAGTAAGAAGCAGCAATGCAAAACATTGTCAAAAAAAGTACAATTGAACTCTCTGCACTTTGCATCGTTTTCATAATAAAACGTTATTTCTAAACATAACATACAGTAAAAACTGCAGGGAGTAACCAAAATTATCACCACTATGTCTGCTTGTTAAAAACCTCTTAAAACTCATGAATGTCTCCTCAAATCCCTTCAAGCCTTGTCAGTTTTTCCATCATGCTTTATATCAATTCAGCCACAAGCCATCCACTTCGCTTCAACAGTAACAGTGCTATCAAATGTGTCCCACTTAAAGAAACAAAGAAGCTACAGAAGAGCCAGAGCACTGATACTTCTTTTTCTGCTCCACATAGCGGTGTATTGTCAAGCTATTTATACCCTATAAAGCAGTCATAGCCACTGGCAGCATATGTCTGCCTGCATGGAGGCCTGAGCTCTCCAACTCCAATGGAGGCTTTTTGCTTCAAGTTTGATTGAAGCTAATTCCGATACAAAAAAAATAAGACAAATATTGTAGAAAACAAATTGGTATTGCTGAGAGCTATGTCGGGCTGCTACCTTCAAATGTTTACCCATTGTGTTTACAGTTAATATCCAGGAAAATAACTCCAGTGTGCTTGTATGCCAATAAAATACAGCAAACTATGTTTAAAATATATATTTTATAACAGAGCACTTTTCTCAGATCAAAATCATCACTAGAAAGCATCAACAGCAACTAACAGCTCCCCCTGCTGAGAAAACTCTCCTCCCCAAAATGATTTACTGGGGTAGAGTCCCCACTAAACATAAAAAGGAAGGACTGCTTTCCATTGCCTTCCTGTGATTTATTTATTTTTTGTTTGTTTTTTTTTTCTA